TATTAATAATAATGTGATCAGTTGCAAGAAATAATAATAGATCCTTTATTTTAATCATACATATTCATTTTGCGACATAATCACCATTTAGAATGACATGTTTTCTGAGATTTTTAATCCATTTATGCATTAAAAAAACATTCTAGACTTTCCTTGATCCATTCCCAGATAGCAGTTTGGACTTAAGCATCCAATGACAAGCATTGACTTTATAATGCTTTTTCTTTAAATTTTTGGAACAATCAGAAGTTCAGTGATGTCAGATCTCAACTGTGAGGAGGATGTGGAATAACCCATAGCTAGGATTTTGAGTATCTTTGTTGTTTGCTGTTTTTGCATTAACACAGTGGTTCTGAACCTTTTTTGTTGATGTATCCCATTAGCCCATTAGTTGTTTCTCAAGTATACCTTATATTTTTGTATGTAAATTTTATAATTACTGCGTTAGATGTATACAGCTTTTATAACTGAGCACCGTAAAAAAGCTCTAATTAACTAACTATAACTAAAAGTGAATTACTTATTTTATGTAAATAGTAGTAAATTTAATCAGGTACAGTACATACCTTTATTATTATTTGATAAGTATATTATATAAAATCACAGAAGTCATTTCAATACATGCATAAATTACACTTCCTAAAAATAAATAATTATAATTAACAATAAAGAAAATTTAAATTATTCTACAATAATTTCTAACAAAATTTAATGGGATATTTGTTGTGATAAATCTTCAGCAATTTTTTAAAAATTTGGTTCCCACGTTGTTAAATAGAGATTATAATTGTGTACTGACCTTGAAAGTAATGGCTGCAAATTTATAATGTGCAATGAATCTTTCAATTTTTGTAACAAATGTAACGTCTAAATTTGCTAAATATCAAGTAATGCGCACATGCAGTGACACGCATTGCATGGTGGGGGTACAATCCAGGCCTCGTTATTCCTAATACCAGTAGTTCGGTAAAAACACAAAAAGCCCCAAATTGAGCAATAATTATAGAATAGAGAAAAAAATTTTTTTCTATTCTAAAATTAATGCTTGGTTAAACCGTAATTTTACTAGAGTACAGGTTCACTCGGCACTAATGGCACAAATAGACAGGCAAATCAAGTGGATAAACAAATTGTTTAGACTGTTAAAAGGGAAATCAGTGTTCACACTGGGATATTTTAAAGCAAGTTTTTGTCATTTCTTGTTTCTTGTGTTAATAATTTACAGCAAATTGATTAATGTGTGCCATTTTATAATGAAAGTTAGATGTACCCCTTCGATTTACGTTCGTACCCCTAGGGGTAAATGTACCCCCAGTTGAGAACCACTGCATTAACATAATGCAAGAAAAAGATGTTCTTTTTTTCTGATCTTTATCTCCAAATAAACCTTTTAAGTTCTCATAACGTTTCATAATACTTTACCAGATTGATTATTTCTTCTTTTGCCAAGCAAAGAATTAAATCACTAGTTGCTGCTTTGTATGAAATATAGTAGGGCAACAAAACAAATTAATGTTGTGCACATAGATTAGACATTCATTGCTACTAAATGTTTGGTGGTTATGTATTTCTACCTATATACTTTATGGAACAATACAATAGTTCTAACATATCATTAAACTCTCAAATTTCACTAATTTTGTAACTTTTTTGTCTATGACTGTGGAATGTTGGGCTTCTAGATGTATCAGCAACTTACAAATAGTAGCTTCAATACGAAACTAGAACTTGGTTGGAAGAGGATTAAATAATTCCTGAAAGAAAGCTTCGCTGCAATTTTCTAACCATTTAATTGCATTTTTTTTTAACTCTCTCTCTCTTCTCTGTGGGCACTACAGGATTTTTTAACAAGCCCATTATAGGTTTGGTTAGGCCCGCAACAGGGTAGCCAGGTGGTGAGAGCTATAGTCCGATATAGCCAGATAAACCCCTCAAAATTCCTAGGGATCTATCCTCAAAATCTATCTGGATTTGATTCCAGGTTCCCAGAGATGCCACCCTAACTGCTCAGCCTATCATTTAGATATATTAACACACAACATATCTAAACTTTTTTAAGAATCTTTATATATTTTCACCTGTCAAATTATTCACACATTCACAGCTATCCACATATTATTATTATTCAATGGTTAGTAACTTAATTATGACATTCTAATTTATCTATCAATTTTTATCATAGGTTGTTTAACATAATAAAAAAATATTATTATTATAATAACCAGGATAAGAATCCTGGTTATTATAATAATAATATGTTTTTTAAAATCTTTATGCTACTTTTAAAATAAAAGATAATACCAGAAGTTTTTTAAAAGTTAAGAGACATTTTATTGATGTTTAATTTCAATTAACTGTTTTAAATTTAGTTAAGAAATTTTATTTGGTACATAAAATATCTTTTCTATATAATAGATGATAATTAAGATTCAAATATGAAATAAATTGTGTCTTATACATAAAAATCACTAGTTTTTAATGAATAAGTTGCTTCGTTAATGGCTTATGGACACATTATTCATATGTGCAAACAAGCTATTTAGAAGTTACAGAATTAAAACAGAACATAAATACATAAATTAACATAAGAATCATACAATTTGTAGTTTTGTTTGGCCCATTTTGAATGTTTAATACATCTAGCATTGTTACTTCAAAGATATTTTATACAATGTTAAACAAGATTATATTTGAATATTGAAAAGGATTATATTTAATATGGTTTGTTATTTTTAGTTTTTAAACTATAAGCAGTTAATAGTTTATACACAAATGTGATAAATATAAAATCTGCCTGCATTATTTGGATATTAAATGTTATGTTTGTGTATTAAACCTTTATTTTAAATACATATTTTTTAACTCTGCTCTTTGGATACCAAGAGGACTTTTTTCAGGCCCATATTGAGTGAGGCAAAGCACATAATGGGGCAACCAGGTGACGAAGGACAGGGCCCAAAAAAATCCTGGGATTTTTCAACTGCCTAGATTTGAACCTTCAAATTTTGATTAAATGTTGTAGAAAATAACATAAAAGTAAATATTGGATTTAGTAGGGGAGGAAATTGAAAAGTGAAATTCTATTAACTGAAGAGCAGGAATTCTGTTTTAGAGAGCAATTGTCAATTTATATAGAATGGCAGCTATTTATTTTTAATGTTTTTATTTTGTTTAAATGCTAACCTGGTTTCATTTTTTGCCTAAAATCTCATCATTAATATTGGAAAATTTGGAGAAGAGGAAAATTAAAATGTATTTTCTAAAGTCTCTGATGTTTGAAATGAAATTTAGTTGTTAAAAAAATGCAATAATAAATTGATGACTGGAAATAATTAGTGTAAGATTTCACACTATATTAAATTCTTTATTAGCAGTAATTAAGTTTTAAAAATTAATAATTGTTAAATCTTCTGTTCTTAAATAATAGATTTTAATTATCAGTTTTAAAGTAATTAATTCTAATTAAGATAATTACATGTTAAATGCTATATGTATAAGGTCTTATACTTATAAAATGAATGCTACCTATTTAAATTATTGTGATTATGTTGTTATCTGAGAAGTACGTGATGTACAGTATGCCAATCAATAGAGTAACCGTTTGAGTTTCATCTCCCATCTGTGCTCAAATATCTTGTAGTCTACTGTCTCTAGAAAGCATGATAAACAAAAATGTGACTCCACAACAAGAAGGTGGTTTGTACAGAGTATTCTGCAGTTTGGAAAGCCAGAATCACTCATCATTGTGCAATATGACTAATCTGTAGGAGCTATGGGAGGAGTGACAATGGATATGCTATAACAAATACAGTAATACCCCGAACTTACGCGATAGGTGGGACCGAGCGATAACCGCGTAAGTCGGGGTATAATTTTGAAATTTACTTAAAATTCAAGTCAGTTGTATATAAGCTAATAAATGTTCTCGTTAATCTTATCTTGTCTTTAGATTCGTTCACGGTTACAAGAAATTACCACATAGAGTCTCTTGAGTCTCCGTAGATATAACAAACACAGAAATAAATAACACAAAATAAATTGTAGCTATGTGTCAATTCCACATGGCACGTCCGAACATGTAAGCTGAATAATAGTGTGGGGGGAGTGAGTAATCAAGAGTTGCGTGGCGCTCAAACAAAAGACGAATCAACGAGATTTGAAAATCGCATAACTCCGGGTTCGCATAAGTTGGGGTAGTGTAAGTCGAGGTATTACTGTATAGGAAGAATTTCAGTATTTGTTGGATGTGTTCCATGTAATGTGAGGTTCACCCATTGTGAAATTGTAATGGGCAATTGTGAAACTTGGGACAGTTTTCCAATATTTTAATGTATATTGTGATGTTCTTAGATAATAATTTAAAATGGTAATATTCTCTTTGGAAGACCCAATATGTAATGATGATGATAATAGAATGAAGTGGGACAATTTTTTTGATTTGAAAAATTTATAAAGAATGGATGAAAGTATCATATTAATTTTATTTAATTTTTTTTTAATTGCAGTGATTTTCAAGAAGTAGCAATTATACAAGAAATATATGAAGGAGAAAATTCTCATGAAGCTTTTGAGAATGAATTAGAGAGAGCATTAGAAGCCGGTTGTGCCACCATCATTATCGAGCCTTCACGATTGGGAGAAGAGACAGCACGGTGGATATCCATAGGCAACTGTCTCCACAAAACTGCTGTTTTGATGGGATTCGGATCCATTGCTTCTACGTATCTGTGGCCTGATAAACTTTACATCTGCTGTCCAATGGGTTGTGTTAGTTTCTTCTGTTCAGGATTATATGGTGTATCCTGGCAATTTGATCCCTGTTGCAAATATCAAGTGGAATATAACTCTAAAAAATTAGCAAGACTACCTTTACATACGCTAAATTCTACATCTCCCGTAGTATTGGTGAGACGCGACGACTCAAGACGGAAATTACTGCACACGACGATTAGTTTAATAGCAGTCGCACACTGCGCATGGTTGATATACAAATTGTATAAATAGTAAAAGCTTGTTGTTATATATGACTGTCAAATTATTAAAACAAGGATGTGTTTTTAAATGAGGTCATTGCAACAAATTTGTTATTGTACACTATTTCAAGTATCCAAATAATTTTTGTTTTTTTTTTTTTGTTTGTTTTTTAAATTTTCTTTTGAACTTGATATTACTTTAGAAACATGTCCTCTTATTTGTAATTTAAAGCTTTTAAATCTTTTAATTTCTTGACAGACAAGTAAATCAGTTCTGACTCATTACTTTTCTCTTCCGGAAATGATTTTGTCGACTCATATTTGAACTCTAGAACCTATTAAAATGAAACTATTTTTGTAACTCTGAAAAAAAATTTAGAAATTTGTGATCAAAATGCTTTATTCGGTAATGTTCAGATAGGCTGGAATATCTGCTAGATTCATTCTAGTTAATTAAAAAAGCGTCGTTGGTTCCAAATTCAAAACACAGCCTATATATTAAAAAAAATAATAATAATAAAATATTGTACAGTAAAAGTTTTGATGACTAACTATAATATATGGTTGCAGTGCAGAAATTTCTATTTTTTAAATTATTTTCTTGTTTCCTTTTGGAGAATTTAACTTCATCATTTTTCACTTGATCCAGCAATACGGGAATGGTATAGATATTGCATTAATATATATATACAATTAGAGTTTTTATTAAGATTAAATTCAATAAAATTTTAAAAGATTTTATATGAAAACATGTTTTGTAACAGTTAAAATAAAATGAAAATTGATCAGATAAATTTTCCAAACTAGCAAATATTGTTTTAACGTCTTTCAAATGTTCAAAAAGTTTTCTTAGTGATGAAATAAAATGATTTCAGCTAATTAAATGGTTGGTTTATTTTAACTAGTTTGGAGAATTTAAAAAAAGTAATTTTTAGTTTATTTATAAATTTGAAACAAACTCGCTTTGTTTTTACAGAAGTATCAGTATTATTCACACACAACAACATTGTTTTGGTCTTAATTAAATAATTTCCAAACAGAATCAAACAATAAAAGATCAATGTACTGAAGAATTAGTTCATTTACAGGAAATTAAATACCTAATCTGAACTAATACTAGAAATTATCTTTATTCAGGAATATGCCCAAACATCATTTATGCTAAATTAATTTGCAGGAAATGATAAATATGTAAGCAATGTTAATAAAATGATTATTTTAATGAAAGCATTTCGGAACTTCAATAAAATATGCATGCTGTTAAATATAACAACAAATTTAAGTTTGGAGTTTACCCTAATAAGTGTTTACCTTAAGCACTTTTAGTACCAAACCCAAAATGGGCTTTGAGCCCAAAAGTGCTCGAGATAAACAGTTTGTAAGGCTCTTGTGTGTATGTCTTTATTTGCATAAGAGATTTGCACAGATAAATGGTGTACAGGTACAAGTCTCGTATGTGCCCTTTGGGCTTTGATGCCTGAAACTACTTATATTTAAAAAAAAAAACTTGCAAGTTGATTTTCGTTACACATCTTGTCTTCATCTTTTGTTATTAAACTAAACTGTGTCAGCTGTATTTACAACTGGCACAGTTTAGTTTAAAGGCTCTTCTTCCAAAAAATGATAAACTATAATACACATTTAAGGATTAAGACTAATTTTTGTGAAATTTATTATTGACGACAAATTTTTTATTAATTAACACTAATTAACGATCTATCCTTTGCTTATTTAGTAAGGCTTGTTGATTAATAAAGTAAAATACGATGATAGAGGAAGGTAATTTAGGTTTTTAAAACGACTAAAAAGTTTCCATTTTGTAGTTGTATTTATATATAGAACTGTTATGACGTTTCTATGACAACTCGAATACTCCGAACTATTTACAGTCCTTGAAATTGTAACCTTGGTTACTTAAGTAGTAAAACGTAAAATCCTGTGTAAATTCGATAAATGGAGTATCCCGATTGTTACTTATGCCTACTCCAGGAAACATTTAGGTTTTTGCAATACGTTGGATTATCTGGGATAATCCCTAATAGAAGTTGCAGGCACGCCAAATCGAAAAGTTTCCACGAGAGGAGAATTTGGCAGTTTTTTATTACCGTCTTCCACATAATAATAACTGTTCACATGTTAACATTGATTATCTTGTATTATGGATTTAAAATTAACGTACCCCATATGCAATTCATTAAAAAAGCGCACGGTCAACCCGGTGAAATCTTTTCTTTAACATTATCCGCGTGTTGCTGCTACAATGCTTCTCTCCTCACCATGTTCAACTTCTGGAAGGATCGAAAAAAGGCCACCGAAACCATCTCGGAAATGTGGAATGAAAATTCGACACGATCGAATAAAGAATTCAAGAAAATCTTCCTCGTCCAGAAGATTATCTATCGAGTAATTACTCCATCTTTGCAGATTTTTTGCATATTTTGCATGATATTTCTCATTTATCGATGCTATCACATAGCTATCGGCTATCTTGGTTTGTACGTCACAGGATTCTACATAATAATAATTTTTTTGGCTTGCACACAAGGGTTAAATCTCTTTATCGGTCAAGTTACTTATTTCTTCGTTACCACTGAAATTATCAGGAAGAAATTCTCAAGAATCGTACACGAGCTGCGGGATCTTCTGAATAGAAAATATGATTACGAAGATTTCAAGAGTATTCAAGCCGAGCACAATGTAATATGCAAAATGGTCATAGTTTTAGATGGTTTCTTCAACAAATATATCTTTCTGGCTTATTGTCTCTTTCTTCCCGCCATTTGCTTCAATACTCATTTTCTTATCTTCTCCAATAGTCTTGGAGAATTAGCATTGTCCATGGGCTATTCAAATTGCTTGTTGGTTACAACTGTACTCATCATCACTCTTACTTGCGAAGCTCTTACTAACGAGGTAACCACGTTTGAAATGTTACTTTAACTCTGACGTAATGAGAAATTTTTAATGTAAATCTAATTTTTGCAATGTTATTCTTAGAGTATACGACCTCGAGATGTTTTACACGAGTTGGCTTTGTTCGAACTGCATTCAAAGATTCGACTTCAGGTAAAAATTTAGGAATTTTTATGTAAATTGCTTAGGTGATAATCATGTGTCGCAAGTTTATATACTATAAACAATTGGCATGTTTGTTAACAATTGAAACAGGTCGTAAACACTAAGATTTTAGGGATCATCTGTTAGGTGTGCACACTACTGGGAATCTCAGAGTTCTGTACATTGTACACGAGTATTAGTGGCTTACAAAATTGTTCTTGTTTGTATATGCTTAGCTTATTCAAATAATTAATAATTATCAGAAAATATTTACATAACTTTTTCAAGTCATTTCTTCATCCACCAATGGCCAAGTGGATAAAACCATCGAACATTGTCGTAAGTTCGCGCCAATCCAAAGACTGGCCGCGTGCAGTTTTCCAGATATTTTTCACTTTTTAACACCTAAATTGGGGCCAGTTTCCTACAGAAAGTCGTCCTAGGAGACATTTTTCCTTGGCAGGTCGCTCGCTAGATGCGTTGCCATATAGGCTACAAACAAGAAGTAATTTATTCAATATCAAGGGGTCCTTGAGTTATTTGTACACGTAATTAATAGGAAGAAGGTTTTCCGAAAGTATATCACTACATATCAGAGAGGGGGTCAAATATAGATGAGAAACTAATTAATCTAAGTTTTATACATATTTAATGGCGTCGAAAATACGTAAAACAAATTTTCAAATAATTTTTTATTTAATAACTCGTATATTTTAAATAATATTAATTACTTTTTAAATATTTTTAATAATACAATTCTATTTTATTGTTTCTATATTTTATGTAGTTAAATTTATTTATGGAAAGAATCAATGGATTTAAAGTTGGATTTACATGCTTGGAATATTTCGTCGTCACTGGAAACACATTGAGCAACGTAAGTGAATAATTGCAATCAAGTACTCAGGTTCTACTAAATAATACATTTTTACATTCTTTTTTTCAGATTATTAGCTTTTTGGCAACGTATCTGTTAATGTATGTACAGTTTATGAAAGATTAAGGGATGATTACATACAGAACTTGCACAGAAATAAAACGGATTTTTTACAAAATAGACTTTTCAAATCGCTCGGGTAATCTGAAAAACTGATAAAATGAATAACAATGAAAGAGCTTTAAAAAATACTCAAAGTCATTGAAGTCATACGGGAAACTTATTTCGTTTTGAAGTGTGATGAAGAGCTAGTAATGGGGCAGAAAGTTTCTTAATATCCCTCCATACGTGAATTAAGATTCCTCATTCGTTTCCAAAATCAAGTTATGTATAGTGTTCTTTTGTAGAAGCAGCGCCATATATTCACCATCTTCAGTTTGACAGACTGACAACTTAGTCTGCTGGAGTCTTTCTTTCTTTTCATACACCTTCACTTACAGAGTAGTGTCCTCACTGAAGTACAGTACATCAAAATCAATACAGAAACATACAAACAGGTTTATCCAGCTATTTCAAAGATAGGTCTTTTCCAAATTTTAACTTCCATTTTTGCTGTTTCTGTTCATCCCACGAATTCAAAATCATTTTCTTACCAAAAAAAAAACAAAAAAAGAGATCAATGATTATAAAAAAAATGTGTGAGGTAAGCCTCCCATTACTTCTGGATACGAAAACTAGTATTACTGAAAATGTTTAAGACTAGTTTTCTGATGAGATCAGAATTATACATAGGTGTCCTATTCTCGATATTTTGGCTATTTCTAATCATTTAACCACCCCTTACTTTCATTGAGAACCAGACAGAACCTATGAAGGGTTTGAAAAAATAGCTGTTGTAGCTTCCCCGTGGAAGAAAGGGTAAAATATATGTGTATAACAAACCAAGTACACAACAAGTATAATTACACTACCATACTTAAGAAATTAGAACGTACAAATTGAAATTTTTCTAGTTTTCAATTGCCGTTAATTTTTCTCCGTGTAACTTTATTGCGCCAAGTCCACAAAGACCAGGCAGGAAATAAAGCATAATGCAACATAAGCTTGCCACAAGTACAACTTACTAGTGAAACCACTTACAATCACTAGGATCCAGGATATGGCAACAGGGTGATTGCCCTATTGAGATTTTTTTCGTTGTTAACACCAAATTTACTATTTCTATAAAATAATAAAATACATTGTTACTACTATTCAATTTTGTAGAAAGTTTATGTAGTATATTTTAATATTAAAGCAATAAAACTTTTGTATGTTATTTATTTTATTACACGAATTAACACGAATAATCTCCTCCCCAAGATTAGCTTCTTGATCCATCCGCTCCGCTGCCCTGGGATTCCTGTTAAATGTATTATGTACACTTATTAAAATAAATTACTAATACATTCCTGCTCAGTGGTGCGTTATGCTATGGGCAAAGAGGGCAATTGCCTTGGGCCCTCACCAACATGGTGCCCCAACCAGGCTTACTATAGGGCACGGGTCCTCAAGAAAGGCCGGACGGCCCTAGTGGTCAAGGTGGCAGCTTACCACTCTGGGGGGCCCTGGTTCAAATCCGGATGGGTCGATAAATCTGAAAAAATTTTCTGGGGTGGTCCGTCCGGATATGTCGGGCCCCGTCCCTCACCACCTGGGAATATTTCGAACCCGGGCCCCCAGAGCAGTAGGCTGCCACCTTGATCGCTCGGCCATCCGGCCTCCTTTCCGAGTAAGTATCAATTAGAACTGACTTTATAGGATTATCAATTTACTCCTGGAAATGACAAGTAATTTTCAATAACGTATTATTTTTATCATAAATATAATTATTTAAAATTAATGTACTTACATTACATAATAGTTTATATTGTTTTTCTTGCTATTGTTTAGTTTTAGTTAAGGAAACTTTTCTCGCCAGATGGAGACTCGATCTATGTAAAGGCAACGTCATATGTCCGCCATATTTCTTCCATTTCGGATTTCTGTGAACAACATTCAAATGGAAAGTTTTCGATTTTAAAAGTCAAAAATCGAATTCTTATATTTATTAAGGATTCGATTTTTAAAAGCTAATGAATATTTACAATGTGAGAAACTAGAGCATTCAGATATTTTTCATTTAAGCTATGAATTTCTTAAATTTAATTAAATTATAAAATTTGATACGAGATGGCGCCTAACGCCTCTCCTAGGACAAATTAATTAGTAATTAAAATTATAATCGCCAGAAAATAGCCCGATCTTATACGGCAGTTGATTTAGTTTTGATTATAAAACAAAGATTTTTAAAGTGTGACGTCATTACTGTTTAGCGAAAACGAAATCCCTGTGCATTTAACTCTTGTATGTAGTTTTAAGAAAAATTTATATAAATTATTGAAGATAGAATTAATCTGAACTGACATTAACATTGAAAGGAAAATTTTGCCTACCAGCGGTTTGGTGAGGTCGCGGATTCGTTTCACACCAAGGTGCTGGCCGCGTGCACTTGTCCGGATTTTCTCACGTGTCGACACCTAAATAACGGCCAGTTTCTCAGTAGAAAGTCCTCTCGAGAGGCATATGCTTCTTGGCAACGCAACTATGAGTATATGGCAACGCAGCACATGAGCGATCGCTCATGTGCTGCGTTGCCATATACCATCAAACCAACCCTCAGAAATTTTTCGGGATTATCTGTACCGGATGCGTTGAGGTCCGTTTCTCATCACCTGATTGGCCAGTTGTGGGCCTAGCCGAACCCACGATCAGCATGGAAAAATTAGTTCTCTTGATAAACACAAAGCGAATAGAGCCAAAAAATGAAAAATAAGTATTACAGTATTAAAAATTTCACTTTTCAGTGATAATATTGATAAAAATAAGGCAATCAACACTTGTGCGTATGACCAAACGGTTCCTCCTTACAGGAAACAGACCTCTATTTATGTGTTGGACATATGAAGAAAACCTCAAAAAATTACACGCGGCCAGCCTGTTAGTATGGATCGCACCCGCAACCTCACCCACTACTTGTAAACAAAATTTCCTTATGAGTGATTGTTAAATTTAATTCTATCTTTAATAATTTATAGACGTTTTCTTAAAATCGTTTTAGTTCTATAATTTATTATTCTTTAACAGTTTTTTAAATATTTTAAAAGTACGTTTTGCAGGCACTAAGCATTAAAAAGTGTACTGTATTTTGTATATTTATTATGAGTACAGCCAGATCCATAATGAGATGAGGTAGATGACGAGTGAAGGAACCAATATATTTGGGTATGAAATTTCTGAAAATCCACTTTGGATTTGTGGTCGAAGGGATATAACCATTTAACACTGGTAGTTGTTTGCGGGGTTGCTTCTGACCAATGGGCAGGCAGCGTGCAGTTTTCTTAATTTTCTTTACCTATATAAAACTAAATAGGGATCATTTGCTATTGAAAGTCCAAGCAGAAAACACTCCTACTTCGTATTATACGAAGTAGGAGTGTTTTCTGCTTGCCTCATCCCATTACTCCAATCCAATTTTATCCACTGTAAGTTAGTCATTCAATAGTATTCGTATTTAAAGAATAATAACTTTTATTGTTACAATAAAAGTTATTATTTATTTAGTTTGTTTAAAATTGTTAATGATTTCTTAATTACTTCAGAGAATTGTGGGAAATTAGCATATACCATGAGTTAAAATTTTGGGCTCAGTATCGGGATGCTTTTACGTAGAGTCTCCATCTGGTGAGAAAATTTTCCTTAACACCTAAATAGGGGCCAGTTTTCCCCCTCAAATCGGAACTTTAAATTTTAAAATTATCATTAGAATATGCTTGTTTAAATACAACTTATATTGGCTTGAATCTAGAACACTTAAATTTGAATTTACAGTAGTTAATTTTCAAATTTTTTACACATACATCTGAAAATCCTGAGAAATTAAAAATTCGGAAGGATTCCGGGTCGAATTAGTCTGAATTTTGATTATTTAATGTACTAAATAATTTGTTATTTTTTAAAATAAGTTAATATAAAAGCAAGGCCATCCAGCGATTGTATGGGGAACCTATTCCATTTTATTTTCTTTCATTGAAGAAATGAAATGGAGTCAGTCAAGTCCGTGAAAACTTTAAAAATTCATAAACACACGAAAAAAAATCATCGCGAGACTACTTATAATGAAACATAGCTTGCATTATAAGTATTCTCAGGATGGGGATATTTTCTGACAAGAACAAGTTATAGTTTGTAAAGTTGCCGATAGATGGCGCTGACACTAAAACATCTGGCGGAAACGGAAACGATATTATGTTGAGGCCAGTTTTTTTTATTGAAAGTCTTTCCGAGAGGCAGCGATCTTTGGCAAATGACCCACATGTTGCCTTGCTTTTCTCCATGAAACCAAACTAAACACTCATTCACTATCTTCAATCTTTATCCAGACAAATTGCAATCACTGTACCCGCTTTTATTCACAGAGGAAGACATTTACTACGTGAGGTTTATTAAACATCGCACAGGAACTACAATGGTGTGTACTGTGTTTTGGACGGATGAGGCCATGTTTTCATTGCATGGACGAGTGAACGTGATCAACAGTTACATATGGACAACTGTTATTCCACATGTGTTTACAGTGCACTCACTTCACCACGAGTGACAATTTGATGTGGCTCACTGCCTGCTACATCGTGGGACATTTTTTTCTCTGAAGATCTTCAAAGAAAAAAATGTTCTCTTGAGTACTATAGCAGTTTTGCAGCTAGCTCTTTGATCTTCACAGAAGATCTCTGAATATCCAAGAGCTAGCTGAAATACTATTACAGTAAATGTGTGTAGCATTATTTGACATTTTGCACTAGCAATTCGTGTCCTTTTTGCGAGAAAGAAAAGCGCTGCTTACATTTATGTGGTATAAGGAATCATCTAACATTACTTTAGAAATTTTTGATCAAAACATAAAACATTTAGTGAATAAACTTATCAATAAGCATTATAAGATCTCATTACTTCTTTGATCTCCATATTTAATACCAGTTTATCTACGTTTGCGAGGGTATTTAAAGTCTAGACTCTAGAGTGTATCTATTAGATCCTTCCACATTTTCCTGAAACAATGCCATACGGCTTGAAGTTCTGCACTTTACAGTCACTAGCCCCAATAGTGTCATATCTTATAGTAAAGGGTATATGAAACATTTTCCGTCAGTTTCTGTTGCAATAAACAATTCGAACGGACAGTAGTCATTTTCATTGCTATTTTTAATAGCCATTTTTAATAGATTTTTAAAGGTTTCATTCATAGACACTTGGCTAAACCTGTAACCTTTGTAACCCTGTAAATAATCTTAAAGAATCTTTATTCTTCAGTGATAAATACTGTATATGTTATTAAGGTGGTAATATTCAGTTAGAAATTATTTTACGTTCTTTTTAAATTTAGATATTATAGTTAATTTACATAATGTTAAACAGGATTTAGTGTTTATTGATAAAAATTTTAATTTTTTTTGTAACCTTCTATGTTAAGAATTTTTACTGTCGTTATGTATTAAATGTAAAGTAATAACTATAAATTAAATATTTCTGGAATAAAATTAATTAAAGAGGAACGGAAATGATGATAATAATAAAACTAAACAGTAATTATAAGCATTAAAATTCCTCCAGATGTTTATCGAAATTTTACGACCTTACTCTAATCTTTTAAATAATAAAACAATTAAATAAACAATAAGCAATTTTCATTGTTCTTTTCGGCTTAACACAGTATTTTTTATATACTTTGCATGAATATATTAAAATATTACAGTACAAAATTTCGTGAAAATTAATAATGAGTCCTTTATAAGATTTAGGCTACTCTAAAGGTAAATAATCAGTTAAATTTAACCACTAAACACTGGTCCAGTGTTCGCGCTTCACCTAAGGATTGGTCTTGTGAAGTTTTCCAGGTTTCCTTCACGTGTTGAAAACCTAAATACAAACCATAGAAAGTCTTCCCAGGAGGAATCCCAAGTAAATTTATTATGAAATTTAATTTGTCTTTTCGTATTCCTTTTTCGTGGTTCCATATTTTACCATAGAGGATTACATCTTGCAACCAACCCTTCCGCAGTGGAACAAAAAGGATTTTACTCAGTATTTAATACTGCGAAACAATAACCGAAAAATGTCGCTCATTCCACAAAGGTTACAAGTCAGATTGCTGAAGAATTATTGTCAACAAGAAAGAACATTGCCTGAATATAGGCAGTGAAGATGAGCCAAATTTTACTTCACCGATGAAATATTCAAAGATGGACATTCTGGAAACAACGGTATTAAATGGTTTTGATTGTTATGTAATTAGAAGAACAATCCCAGTTTCTACACAGAAGGGAAGAATTCTGATTTATATATATTTTATGGCCGGTTTTCCATATTCAGATTTATAATAAAGTAATTACAGTAATTTATATTCTAAATACCTTGAACAAAAAAAAAATATTAATTGTTCCTATAGGCCTATAAAATATATTTACGGAGAATTATTTTAATTAGTGAGACAGAAGTTATGATTCGTTTTATGTATACATATATAATTCTGATTATTTTAATTACAACTAAATATTTATTAGATAACGTAAATTTTATGAAAGTTTCCATTGGTTGATATACTCATTCTATTCTTGGAGATGACTTTAAATACGTGCTTTATGCATAGCATTTCTATTTAACGTTATTAAATTGAAATATAATCATATTAATTTTATAACACAACGTGAGTATAACTGTTTTGATTTGTACAAATTTTTTTTTTTTAAATTAAATAAATTAGAATATATTTGAAAGATCAATCCTATGTAGAAAATCAACAAAATTATTGTGACAGGCTGAAATTTTTAAAAATTGCAGCCCAATAAAAATACAATTTTCGTTTTTCTATGTTGCGATTTTATAAATAATTTCTTATATTTTATTTCTTTTAACAGATATTATAAAATAAGACAGATGAATTTGTGGAATTTCATCGTCACTGCTTCAGTTCTAATAGGAATTTCTCAAGAAAGAACAATTTCATACCAAGAAATAATTTCTTTGAATGCTCAATGCGGCCCTATTGATACTTGCAACACTACTAATGAAAACCTTGAAGTACCAGCAAGAAGTTGTCAATGCGACGATTCTTGTGCATTTTATGGAGATTGTTGCATAGATGCTCCAAATCGACAAGCTATGGAAAGAACGGAGACTAGAAATATTTGCTTGAAGAAAAATAACTTTCAAGGTTATTTTGCAGTTTCTAACTGTAAAAAAAATTGGAGAGATTTGGAAACAAAAAGAAAATGTGAAAATCTAAATGATGAAGATCCTTACACATTGATACCAGTTGCGAGTAAACGAAGTAAAATAACATACAGAAACCGTTACTGCGCTAACTGCAATGAAGATAAACGAGATTTAGAATTTTGGAAAATTGGTGTAACGTGCCAGCAATTGGGTGCAAACTTAAGTTACGATTTTCCGAATTATCTCGTGTACAATTCTTATTTGAAAACGTGGGGTGTGCTCTTGCCGAATCAAACATTTTTAAGATGTAAATTGGTACCCGTTCCTCCCGAAAACACCGAGAACTTAAGATCTTGTTACTCGGATACGATATCGACTTGTTCTACTAATTGGAAAGACGATTCTATTAAAGAAAAGTGTGAGTCCTATACGGCCATTATTTTGGCACGCCACAGAATTAAGTACAGAAATGTACATTGCGCGGTTTGCAATGGAGTCAACGTCACGGATTTGAATTGTCCATATCTTTCTAGTAGAGAATTATACCGTACCTTTGTTGAAATTGCAGGAACACCAAATATCGTTTGCCTTTTTAGTGTGGGTAATTGCATTTGTGAAAATAAAGTTTACGATGCAGCTTTCAGAAAATGTCGTGAGCTCACATGTGGTTTGCCTTTTCTTGAACTTAAAAATGGTAAGTGTGTTCACAAATCATAAAAAATATCATATCAGTGCTAATGAAATGTATTTTAAATTGTAATATTTTCATTTTAATAAAATGAATTTTAAGGCTATTGTAACCTCTGGTTATGCACGAGATCTCCAACAGATGGCGTTAAAAATATATTCCTGGCTGTTACGTGTATATAACAAGGGAAAGTATTGGATTCGAGTCAAAATTGACCCTCCAAGTTTCTGCAAATCTGAAACCTCTCGAACCCAAAATAAACGCAAAAGAATGTATAAAATTTCGTGGATGAGTATGTGTGTGCGTGCATGTGTCTATTGTGTTTAATGTCTCGAGGTGGGATAATGATTAAGAAACGAAATTTGGCTCGGTAGTTCGAGTATGAGCATTGATATCGTTAAAAGTTGGTGGTAAAGATTGAGAGGGTGGAAAGATACGGTGTAGCCACATGTTATATCGAGAGGAGGGTCGGACTTAATGATGATTTTACTTGTCGTTAGCATTTACAATTTTTTTTTAATATAAAACTTATATCTACCCTCAAAATTAAGCCCATTTCTATTTTTTTTATAATTAATAATATAAAAATAATTTTATAACAAAATCTCAAAAAATTGCGCCACATAGAACTTGATTTATTATGGTTAATAATATATAAGTTATTTTTTAAATAAAATTTCATAACGGCTGGGGAAGTTACACTAAGCTACTGGTGGGCCCGGTAGGCTAAATACAAACTCGAACGCCCTTCTTGCAAATCTTTAGTGAGTTAGGTTCGCGCTTCGTCAACGTGTTGGCCACGTGGAGTTTTCCGGAGACATCGCCCACGTGTCAAACAAACAAACCAAAAGTAACCTACAGGTAGAATAGAGCAAGCCTCTTTCCAATTTTTATTTTTGAACAAATGAAATACCTAGAATGTTTCTTTATTCATAAAATGATACCTTAAATAACTTTATTTTTTAGTAAAAATAACACTAATTTTATAGGTATAAGAAGCTCTTTAGGGCCCTAGGTTTTCTCCGGATTCTGTACGAATTTCGTTTATGGGGAAAATCATCAATTAAATTTGCTATAATTTTGTTCTTGAAAGTAAACTTGGCACACTCACGTGGCAGAAAAGTACCGCATACAACACTGCAACACGTATACAAATACTCAATAATTTAAAACTTAACATAACTAGGAAGGTGCACAGGCACAGGGTCGGGATGAAGGGACGTGGAAACGAACTGACAAAAGTTTTCAAATATACTGTATTAATATTTTCGTTTATAAATACACTTGTATATTTTTCGTGTACATAAAAATTATTTATATTTTTTCCCCTCAAAAAATTGGATAGCCCTGAAATAAAACCTTGAACAGTGCTATGAAGAAAAGTCATAACATAGTGTTCTGTGATCAATAAAAAGTATATAATATTTTGTTATTGTATCATATTATGCTTACAAATTGTCGAGAAATTAAACAATTGTAGATTTAAACAATATCTAAACAATATTAGCATCATTCAATAATGATAAGTATTGAGAATAATGGTTTCTTTGTTAAGAGGAGCAAATACAGGGACTTAAAATTTCATTAAAAGAATGCGGCCTTCTGGCCTGATGACGTAACTACGGGGGAGTTCATCAAGCCAGAAAGTACCTTAGTAACTGGTGATGATGGCGATGGGATCAAAAAGAGACAGATTTTGCTGACGTTATACTTAAACAGCCCCTTTCCAGTGTTATCTAATCACACCTTTAGAAGATTGAATATAAAAAAATTATGTTAATAGTTAAAAACTTTTATAAACAAACAAAAGGTGTTGTTTGTAAGTAATTAGTAATAATGTCATTTGATTAACCTCATAATTAGACGTTCAATACAGAAATCCAACTCAATGGGGATTAACTGTTATCGCATTCAGAAATCTTTAGTATTGGTTTAACAAGAATAGAAATTTCTGAATATAATACGACAGAGTAATATTGATTTCGCCACAAACTTATTTTTGGAACAGATTAAACAAGCACGATATAATAAACATAAAGTACAAATTGCGGGGATTAAATCGATATTATTGTATTTTGCTTCGTTTAATTATCCAAAGATGGCGCTACATATTTATGAAATAGATAAGTAACGGCTTGGAACTCAAATAAAAATGAAAACTTCTTACTTTTCAAATTAAATTACATTTTATGTCATTAGTTTCCAAGTAAAATCATTTGTTTATGGTACGTATTTTGCAACTGAAGTCTCTTGTTACACGAAAAACATCACTCCAAGATCAACAAACTCTTGCTGAACTGTTGTTTGTTTACTGGACCTTAATAGCTGTCTGTGACTCTAGAGAGTAACAGTTAAGTTTGTTTACGCTGAAAGTTTTGCAGTTTGTTAGTATTATCTCTGAATTTTCATGTAAAAAATATTAAAAAAATAAAAATAAATAAATAAGTCACTCACTTCATGAAACATTTTAATTCTCAATTGAATGTATTATACATAAAAAGAAAGTTGCAATACTTAAACATGTCTAAGTATCCATATTCTTTTTATTGCTTGTTTTTCTTCATAATTCAAAAAGAAAAATCTACATTTCATAAACTATTTTATGAAATTTTATACCAATTTTTTCCCCCTCCGTTCAGTAAAAATATAACTGAATGGCATAACTGATATTGCTGAAAATTTTATATAATCAGCCGCCATAATGGCTGTTTAAAACTTGTTTTTATATATATTTGTTTTTATTTTTTCTTAAAATTCAGTCAAATCTGTAAACTAAACTCGTTCTGCATTAAATTTCCTATAATTCTTCGAGCGAAAATTTGAANTTCCTTATGAGTGATTGTTAAATTTAATTCTATCTTTAATAATTTATAGACGTTTTCTTAAAATCGTTTTAGTTCTATAATTTATTATTCTTTAACAGTTTTTTAAATATTTTAAAAATAATTTATTGTAGCAATACGCAATTTCCTGTGATAATTTCATGACTATGTTTCTTCCTCCTTGAAAACTCTTCGGAATTTTCGGAGGAAAACATTTGATATGTGTATTTGATATATTCTTTTTTTTTACCGTGTCGTTTAACAATAGTAATTATAGAAGTGTGCAAAAATTCAATAAATATTTTGTATGTAAAGTGCATAGATATAAGAGTGTACAAGAGGTGAGTACAAGAAAGTGTTGTACAAAATATCTAACAAACTTCACTTTTGTGCTTAGTTACAAATAGCCAGTGTCGATATGAATTGTGTGTTACACAAAAAAGAAAAAAAAAACTCGTGTTAACTTATGTAATTATCTACGTCAGGCTGAAAATATTTATGTATAACAGTTCTTTGGGCTATATCAGTTTGTTCTTCTTTGTGTGGATACACAATAGAGTTTAATATAGTTCAGATATATTCTTTTTGCTCTATGGAGCAAGGCAAAAAGTTAGGTGTTTTTTTTTAGGAAGTTTTTAGATAAATGTTTGATTTTTTTTCGTTACCAGAATTTTGAACACTGGTAGAGGCCACAGTTTTCTTTGGGAAGTTAGAAAACCCAGGAAAAATTCCTGTAAAATAGAAAAATTAACAAAAATCAATCAAATATTTGTATTTAATTAAATACTTCCTTGCTTTATTCGGGTCTTAATAATATTATGAGGGCTTTTTTGGAATAAATAGAAAAGAAATACAATGAAAAAGTTCGCATGGTCGATTTTCTGAAAACGAAGATTGATTAGACAGTAAGGAAATTTAATAAGAAGATTACTTTTATGAGTATACTTACAGTACATTATAGTATATCTATAAATCATATAACTTAATACATCATATTTCAGTACAGTATTATAAATTAGTTTTTAGTGCCCCATACAGGCTCTCGACGAACCGAGTATTAATTATCAATTTTAATTCAATGTCATCATTATGACAGTGAATTAAAATTGTACAGACAAGTCATAAATGTGGCTCCTAGTTCTCTATAAGCCATGGTGATACAGCGGATCTTCGTGAATAGGGGGCTACGTGAATAACTAAAATCAAGCCCGTTTTGCTTACTGAAGTACAACAGTGAGGGCATACATTCTATGATCTTAAGGCAGTATAAAAGAAATGATGGTCGATTCGATTGGCATAAGGAGTCCATGAAGAAGGCAGTTTTTTCCAGTATTTGCAATGTCATTCACAAGTTTGTAACCCCCAATATCTAAACAGGAAAAGAACACGAGTAAAATATTCCTATGATAACTCATTTATGTCGATTTTTCTCCATTTAATTTATATCGCTTTCATGCAATGGCGCGTTATCCTATTGAAAAAAAGGGTAATTGCCCGGGTCAGCAGGGAGCCTCAAACCAATCTTTTACAAGAAAGTATTACCCCAAAAAGTTCCCCCGAAAAAAATGTCTGAAGTCAACATGTACAGTACATGGGGCCCCTAATTCAAATTCGTATGGGTCTCACGAAGCTATAACGCAGTTTTCATGTTCCAGTTTTTAATGTAAAATACCAAACCTTGAGATTTTCTTTAAAATCGTATAAATTAAAAAATTTTCAAACTATTTTAACCGTTTCCAAAATTTATTTTTGACTTCTTCATTGTGTTTTATATTTAAAAAATTTAATTGAATTTTTCTTTATTTTAGATATTAAAATGGAGAAAACAATAAAACTGGATCATAAACAAAAACTGTCCAAACTTAAATAATTGGGAAATTTTATTTAAATTATAAAAGAATTAAATTACAGCTGTTAATTACGGTAATTGCTATAATTACCACACTCGATGTACGGTATGAAAACGTGTCGACCCTCTCTTCTCTTTCTCAGACTACTGTCTAGAAAATAGGACTAGTATTATCGTGTAGAGACTATAGACTATCGATATCACAGAACTACATGTGACCCATACTCATCCCATTACGAATAAATTGGGTAAATTTATATCTGGGAAACGTGTTTCTTACTTATTCGTCCATTTCTCTCTATTGTAGAGTTCAAAGAACAGTAAATGATGGGTAGTTTCTATTATATTTCACTGTAGTATTTTGGGATTATTTCAAAATTATTATATATATTTAGCTAAAAATGAAAATTAATAAATTGTTAATCTCATCTGGAAGTCTAGTCTACAAGTCGACCCTCCTATAACACTGTTGATTATTCCGTTTTATATGAATTCCATGTTGTACGAGTCACTTAGATTTTACAAATATGTGAGCCATTCATAGCCGTGCACTCGTATTTGTAAAATCTAAGTGACTCGTACAACATGGAATTCATATAAAACGGAATAATCAACAGTGTTATAGGGGGGGCGACTGTAGTTGTGTGTGAATATCACGTGGTACCAACTCGTCCAGTGACACCATTCACTACTTTTACACACGTGACTCGAGACTGGGAATTTATAAGTCTAAAATTTTTTCAAATTGCAGCCCAATAAAGGAGAAACAACAACAAACCTACGCCACTTGTATGTAATTTATATAATATTACTTAATTAAAAGTAAGAGCTGCACGCAGGAAATGAATTTCGTTCCAGAAATATTTAGACTTTGACTTATATTGGATTTATTTTTAAAAGATAAAACATCTTTTCAATTAATTAGAAATTATTTTTAATATAGTACTCAGCAGCTTTTTTCAATATCAATTAAGTTAAAAAAAAAAGACGGATTTTCGAATTTTTTCCCTGTGTTAAGCTTAAATTAAATTACGATTATTGATTTACTGTATAAAGGATCTTAATAGAAATTATTAATGTGTCCTGTCAGCTATTTGACAAATGCTTCAAGATTTTCAGTTGTAACTGCCAAAGGATGCTTTTTTTAATGTCCTTTCTTAATTATCAGACAGTTAAATCTTCGTTTCTATTCTTTAGATTAATATAATTTAATTAATCAAAGAAAATATCAAAGGAACGAATGAAAAAACAAAATAAGATTTTAATTAAAATAAAAATTTGTCAAATTTTAATGTGGATTTTATTAAAGTCACTAAAATAAGTGTGAGAATGTGAGAGTGTGAGTGAGCGAGCGAGCGTGTGAGTTAGTTTGTATGGGTCAGGACCCCAACAATATTTTTTTACAGTGTTGTAGAATATCGTTGAATGGAATAGAACACTTTACCTAACAAACATACTTAATAAGTTAAGAGGAGTGGGCTTTAGGGATGGTTAGGGAAGAAGCGAGGACCTCACAGTACTTTTTACTAAGGTGTCGTAGAATATTCATATCAAATTTGATGCATTTACGTTGAATAGTGTAGAACCCTTTACCTAACAAACATACAAATTTGACTTTTATATACTCGTATATATAAAAACTAACAATATAAATTCGATAGGACTGTAGGAAATATTATGCTTTAAAAATGAATTACGATAACTTAATGCATCCAATAGTTAATATAAACGTACTGTACTATATTGTACATCATGTTAAATAAGGCTCTTGTTACAAGCTTTAGTTAAGTCGTAAAATATAAGAAATGGAAATAAATTTAATACGGTAACGAACTTTCAGCAATCGTTAATTCGATTTATGTAAAATTTTTTGAATTAAATATCAAGTTCTACAGAAAGACTACAAGCTTCCTTAATGGGTCTTTTAAGCAGCTGTTGAAAACTAGACGTCGATCTGTCCTTATTGAGTCGTTCACCTGTTTATAAATAATTCATTCAACCAGAAATTGATACTAAATAATCAAATTAATTAATTCCTAATCTATAAATAACCCGAAAGAAACGATGACGTTTCATTATTTAATAATTCATTTTGAAAAATGATTGCTAACATTCTAAAGTATTTTTATTACCGAAATTAAAATATTGTACTGTATTGCACACGAATATTTACCATTAATCTTGCTCCTGTGTCAGAATATAATTGTTATTTTATGTGTTCTTTTTTAATATTGTGACAGATATTTTTCAAAAGAAAATGAAATTAATCACCGAAATTCTAAATGCAAGTAAATTTCAAACTGAAAAATCAGTGTAACATTCATTGTACATAAAACAATGTCTTATATATTCAAATGACTAAGTTAAAATAGCTAATATTCATCAATACAGGACTTTCATTTGAATCTTCTAGGTATAGAGAAATAATAAGAAATAGGCTTGCAAAGGTAGTTCGTATATAGTTAATCATGGAGTCTCCTGCCCATTTCATATCTGGTCTCATCTTTCATCTAACTCCATTCTCTAGATTAAGGAAAGACAGACAGGTAGTCGGACAGACGGACGACATTACTACTTGCTCACAGATGTTCTGGTTTATGGGACTATCCATTGCATTGATAATTTGCATAATTTTATGATAGCTCTCCGGACCTCATTCCCCGAATTACAGGTTCTCTGGGGGACATTTCCGGACTTTGCTGTAGGAGAAACTGCAATTTTCTATGCAAAATATCACTTTTGTTGAATGAAAAGTATGATGTGTAGGGGCAAGACACAATTGATTTGAAGTGGAGAGCATATATTTTAAAGTAAATAAATTAAAAATGTGATTAAAAATTGAAGTCCGGCATTTTGACAATGTTAAGATTTCAACTTACATTTTTCTAAATTTATACAGAATGAAGAAATTAAGTTTGATTATAAATTTTATTGTAAAAAAGATAATTTATCGATGTAGTTATACCTAAAATTGTTCTGTTGAACTTTTGTATTCAAAGTTATTATTGTTATGATTTAACAGTATGACTTTCATTTAGTCATACGAACTTTTACATTTCCCCTACTTAAAATTTATTTTCAGATATAAAGCAAAGAAGAATATATTCCTTGAATTTTATACATTTTTAAAAACTATCTTACAAAAAAATACCAGACTGTTTATATATAGGGGAGATCGGGGCAACTTCGGCATGCGGGGCAAGTTTGTCAAGCGCTTTTTTTTAAAAACAAATTAAAAGGAGACTTTGGTTATAGGTTAGGCAGTTGAGTTTTATTGGTGGCTTGTTAAGTGTAGTGTTTTTATTGTTCTCCAACAAGCGTAGTTGAATTATCAAGCAAATTTTCATTTTCGTTCAATTCCATATAATATTTTTTTTCCATTTATATTGAATTGGCAGGTTTTGTTATAATTCCATGATAACGAAAGTTACTTTTCCTGTTAGAAGGATGTAACTTCAACTTATTCACGTGGCCAGATCGTGGCTTGGCATTCTGTTCTCAGGGTTGTACTTAATGTTTCGAAATCATGACTAGCGGGGTAAGATCGGCAACATAAAGCCACATTAGAAGCAAAGGATAAAAATCAAACAGATGATAAATGAAAACATGTTTGCATTTGTTATTCATGTATATATGTCTTTGAACTTGCATTTCGTTGTAATAATATTAAATGGGTGTTGGATTTGTATTTCTTTGTTTTAATAGTGAATTCCAACTTATACATTGTTAATAACATAATTTTATATACGTGCCTATCTTGCCCCATTACTGTTGCCCCTATACCAGGGGCAACTTTAATAAAAATAATTAAAATAATTACAACTTTACAAAAAGAGAGAAGTTGCCGATCTTGCCCCTATACCCGGGGCAACTTCGTCAATTTCTCTCTTCTTGTAAAGTTGTAATTATTTTAATTATTTTTATTTCCAAACTGATTTTAACCAGTTCTATAGTAAAGTAACATTCCAATAGACAATATGCAAAGTTTTTTTTTCAGTTTACAGCAGTATTTATTACACAAAATTTAAGTAAAGCTTAACATGCCGATCTTGCCCCGATCTCCCCTATATAAATTTCAATTTAAAATTAATAACAATAAATAAGTGTATATGATATTAAAGTATAGTAATTTAATTTATAAAGTATGTAAAATCCTTCAACTAACTTACCATTTTGCTACCTTTTGTTCATGGTTAATCTTAAACAATCTTGCTGGAAGATTTCTAGAAAAATCTGAACTTCATCTAATGAATATTCCTCAATCATGTCGTGTATGTTCCTTCCTAGTGCATCCTCTTTTTCCAAACTTGCTCCCCATCTGAGTAATGTGCGACAACAATCGACGTAACTGCTGCGTTGAAAGAGTTCATTATTTTAATATATATATATATATATATTTCTGAAAATAAATCAATAACACTTACTTCATTGTAGCTAAATGAAGAGGCGTGAAGCCGTCTGTTGTTAACGTATCCACATCCACACCCATTCTTAACAATACCTAGGAATATTTGACACGTTAAAGTTAGATTTCACACACACACACATATATATACAGTATGTATATATAACAGCTCTGGAATAGACTATACAACATTCTTTATTTAATAATCTCTTACATTTTCCATCTATCTAAACGTTTCGCTCATCAGTTGCCACTAAAATGACGTACAAGATCACTAAAGAAGTACAAAATAGGAAGCGGTGTCCTGGAACGTTCAAATTGTTATAAAAGTTTATATTATTGGACTGCAATTTTCAAATTTCAAACATATAAGATACATTCCCACTGTCGTCCGTCAGTCTGTCTTTCGTTAATCTGAAGAACAAATTAGATAGATTAAAATCGAGACCATATAAGGAAGGCTTAGAAACTGGAGATCCCGATTAAGAGCAGACATACAGAGGGAATTTATAGGTCTGAAAGTTTAAAAATTGTAGACCAGTAACAAATGATCGTTCCGGGCCACCGCTTCTGTTTTATGATTGTCCTTATGTTTGTATTAGGAGAACTTTTACGTCACTTTACAATGTCAACTAATGAGAAGCAAGACGTGCTTGAAACGCTTTCTAGCAAGTTACGAGAATATTGAATAAAGGATTTTGTAAAGTCAAGTGTTTTCTGAGTACATTAAAAATACTGCTATTACTTAAAGGTATAATTAACTCACTTCTATGCAATCATGGTGACCATTCATCGCAGCTATGTGAATAGCATTATACCCACTTGGATCCAAAGCTGCTAAATGTGCACCCTCCAATGCTAGAAACTATACAAAATACGTTTTAATCGTCAAATTAAGTTAAAATTAAACAAATTGTGTATTAAATTTACCTTTACGACATCTGAATGACCATTGGCGGAAGCTAAATGAATTGGTGTCCACCCTCTTTCATCTACGGTCCTATAAATATAAATTAAAAATGTACAATTACGATAACAAAATATTAAGTTTTATTATCTTTACTTACTCCATACGTTTAGAATCTCTTTTTAATAAAAGTTTCACGACGTGTAAATCTCCGTTACGAGCAGCCTCGTGAATGTTGAGAGTGGCAACAAATTCCTCTTCTGACAATCTTCTGCATCCTCCTGTATCCGAACCTTCTTCAAGATCATCAGGAATTGGCTTTAAATATTTTAAAATACAGTATTATATTCAAGAATAACTAATTTCGTTGTATGAAAACTATACCCACCTTTCCTGTATGCATAATGTCTCCAATCATATTTATAGTCATGGGTGGCTTCAGATACACAGGAGACGAAGGTTCGACTTTCCTATGCTCATTTTCTGGCACAACATTGTGTTCTTCCTGTTGCTCTTCTGTTTCTTCGTTAATTACCACTACTTCGGGGGACAGAGCTCTTTCATCAACGGCTAATTCTTGAAGACACTGAGGGCATTCTTCTTCAGTTTCACCATTACTGCTATCTTCGCATGGACAAGATGAACTTTCATCAGATGGTGAAGACGATTCTGAGTCATTCGAACTACTTTCTATTGTGGATGAACCTTCTTCGGAACACTTTATATTTTCTAATTCGTATTCTTCAGGAGGAGACGGGGGTCTTCTCGGTCGACTATTCTCGTTAGTGTTCAAAGTGTTCTGTTGCTTAACAGATGATTGCCCTTCGCATATATTGCCGTTTACACTTTCCAGCGCTTCATTTGTGTATAAAACTTTTTGATTTTCTTGCCTCTGTAGCTTGTTACGGTTTTTTTTCTTTGCTAATAACGGTTGTTTAGGATTCTCCCATGTTTCTTCGTCGTCGGTTACGAAATCCGAATCGGATTCAATGTCTGCCGAGAAACAACTTCCTCCGTCACCACTAGAATCTACACTTTCTACTAAAGATGTTTCACTAAATGCTGTGTCTGTTGAAAGACGTGGACGATTGACAGCTAGAGAGTGGCTCCTTCGACATCTAGGTTTTGGACTTGCGACTTCAATCCCTGATATCTCTGGATGAATCACTGTACCAATTAAAATACTATAAATTATACAAATTAAGGGAAATTATAAACGTGTTTAACATCTCTTACCTTTCGGTATAGCTTGGCGATTTGGGCTATTTTCTTCTTTCCACCCTTTGCTACTAGTAACCTGACTCCTTGTATCTCGCTGATTTAAATACCATAGACCTGTTTAAGTAGTCTATATAATTTTTCATATATCCTTTTTTTATATATTTATAAATGTATATTTTATATATTTCTTATAAAAAAGCTTCACCTGTTTCTTTTTCGATAAAATAAAAGAAGAATTTAAATGAGCACGAGCAAAAATTATCGTGACATCATCGCAATGCCGGGTTGCAAGTTTTAATAATATTTTTTTTTATTAATTTAATTTAAAATATATACTTTCGGTCTCAAATTAGTAGTGTCATACCCCTGTATATCATACTTTTCCTGAAAACAATAGTCATGCTATCATCTACCTACCTCTCTAACAATTACCATTATCCAAACTTTTAGACCTATAAATTTCTACTGTCCTGTCGTCTGTCTGTCTTTCCTTAATCTCAAGAAGAAAATGAGATAGATAAAAATCGAGACCAGATATGGAAGACCACGTTATTTCAATTCAAAAATTTTCTCCTGAACGGCACGTCTCTATTCTTAACAGGAAAAGTATGATGTGCAGGGGCAGGACACTACTAAATTCGGGAGCACTGTGACGACGTCACAATAAATAATAGCTCATTTTATATAAGTAAACACCAAAAACAATTTTTTCTATGTAGAGTGCGTTTGAAAATTACCTGTAACACCTTTACCGATATCGAAGACATCAAGTTCTGTTTGGCATGAAGTATCCCTTACTCTTGTTCTTCCCGTTGTTGTGCTCTGCAAACCACAAACGAAATCAATACAATTTTGATAAATTGAAAATGAAACCTTCTATACGTCACAACAATCACTTACGTGTCTTCGAATCAATGGTGCCCTGACTGGTGTCTCGCGCTGTGGCACAGTATTAGTCCTCATAAGATGGGAGGGTGATTGACGTTCCGGTGTCGGGCATACTTTCGGTTGCACCCTTAAAAATTAAATTATAAATGAATAATTTTTCTTGTCTACTTACATATAATGCAAATGTATTTACTTTGAGCGATTCCAGAATCCGGTATCTCTAGTATATGACGTATATTCTGGAGATGCCCCTTCTCTTCCTAGGCTCTTCAAAACGAAAATTATTATTTAAATATTTTTATGGAGCAGCAGCAGCAGCAGCGTTCTTTATGCAGAATTTAGAATATAATAAAGAATATACATTTAAGATTTAATTATTATAAAATTAATTACTTGGAACATTTTTCTTTTCTGTTTCTTTTCTGTTATTTCCGTGAAACTAGAAGTTCTCTGCAATATTTAAAAGCAAAATTCTCGTTGTTTTTAAAAATTTCATTACTCATTTCCATTTATATTTATTCAAAATTATTATTATTATTGTTTTTTTTAGTTTTGTTTCTTGTCTGATCTAAAATTAATTAAATTTACCTGTAATCTTCTTCCACCCGAAGCCATCAGACACCCCTTAAAAAGAAAGTTGTCGAGTTAAAATTTATATTAAAAATATTATAATTAAGGTAGAGAAGAAAATAGAATTTTGCATTTATATACATTAGACAAGCGCAGCTCCGTTGCCATAGCAGTAAATAGTTTCTTTCCTTTGACAGGATCATTTCATATAAACCGTAAAGTTTTCTACGTTGACAGATCTAGAAGTAAATAAATAAAATAGTAAAATCGGATAGAACGTTTTAATATATCAATATATACGAGAATAATACAAAACTCTTCTTCTATAAAGGGCTGTCGTTAATTACGTAACGCAATTTTGGGTGAGTGAGTATGCGGGCAATCGTCACATACGCGTTACAAGGGGGTTAGGCTGTTTGTAAAAACGTTACGTAATACTAGAGTAAAAGAACAATTCGTTTTTGTTCGTGAAGTGCTGTTTATGTCATTTCTTTGTACGTTATACACGTAACTAATAAAGTAATGTAACGTTTTTACCCCCTTTCTGTGTATTATTTCGAGAGTTAAAGAAAATATACGTTACGTCATTTTGGAGGGTGGGTGCGTGCAATAGTGTTACATATAGTTGAAGATTATAAAAATAGCGCTACGTAATTTATGAACGATCCCTAAGCATAAATCGACGCCAGAATATCTCTTCTGAAAAACAATTAAATAATTATTAATTTTAAAAACGGGTATAATATATTAAAATAAAATTTCACATTTAATTAGTTAACTAGAGGTTTTTATATCATGTATTATAATTCAATACGAAGAAGGACAAATGGAATATCAATTAAATATTATAATCAAGTAAGTATAAAAATTGTAGAGGACATACAAAGGAATATAAGAGTGAAAATAAAGATATAAGACAAGCCACATATTGCTTAAAAAATATATATCTGAAGGGAAGAAAATGATAAAGTGCTAAAAGAAATGATTAGAATATCATTTTACATCTTCTCGAGGAATAGAATAATAATAAAAAATACGAAAGAAAAAAAAATTATTTTACAGTAAAAATATTGAAGATTTATGATTGATATCCCTTTAAATAAATCGTGTTCGGAAAGCGGAAACATTTCAAATAAAGCAAAAAGTATTACATTGAAAATAATATATTTTATATACGAATTGTAAAAATCTCTTAAATTTCCAGTAATTTAATGCCAAAAAGATATATAAAATTATGAGAAAATGTTGACGCTGAAGAGTAGAAAATTGCTTACAATTTTTTTTTTTTTTTTTTAATAATGGAAATTTTAACTCAGCAGAAATCTGTAGAAATGAGTGGAAGTGTTCTGCAACTAGGACGTCCAGCAATAAAAATAAAAAATGATGATTTTTGCATATTGTACAGGTATGTAAATCGCATTAGAATAGAAAGTTTTTCGTATCTAAAAATACACTTGTAATAACAATAAATAAATTATTCAAACAGAGTATTTATCCGAACGTGAAGGAAATTATTTGTAAAAATTTCGTTTTTAATCATTCAGTAGAAAAAAAAAGTTTATTATTATTATGATGATGATGATTCATGAATATTATGAATAATTATCATTACCTTTATGGTTTGTAAATGAATGTAACGTTAAAGACGAATATACTTTAATGGCTTTTTTTTCTAATTCTGTAGACTAATCTAGGATTAGATATTAAAGGGAATTTAAGTAATTTTTATAGCTCTTTTTTTGAGATAAATAAAATGATCTCAATTTAAATTAATTATAGAATAAATTAAAGTACTTGCTCGTTAATTTTTATATGTAAAAAATAATATTAATTAAGGAACAGTTGAATAGTTTCGTAACCTTTTATGTTATGTCTGTTGCATTCAGAATAGAAGCCATCGGTATTAATGTGAAATTTTTTAATTGTAATTACTATTATCATCAATATTTTTAACAACAATAATGAGCGTAAGTGTAATTATATAAAATAAATTTTTAGATTAAATTAAGGAAAAACTAATTTATGGTTAACTGATTATGTTTTATGTTCATTTAATATGTAGAAAGCTGGTTTCCTGATGACTTCTGTGAAAAAATTCTAAATAATTTACTAAGGATTTTGTCTTTTTGAAACGTTTTACTAGAAATAATTAAATTTCCTCAATAACTTAAATAATTAAACTAGAATGAAAACAAAATTAAATCTATCGCATTCACACAAATCATTCGAAAAGTATAAAGACTTTATCAAACTGTTACCATACATGTCGGCATATAAGACTCACACCATCTTCCAAAGGCATTTTTGAAAAAAATAGTGCCGTTATAGTCTAATTTATCGAAAAATAAAGTACTGTAACAAAGAATATTCAAGTATAAACAACAGTAACATTGCAACAACCATATATTTCCTAAATAAAAATACATTATGATCCAACATCCGCATCACCCACGTAAGTATATCACAGCACGTTTAATTTCTTCGCATTTATTTTCTAGATTCCGAAAATTGATTGTTTGAATAATTGGGCTGCAATTTTCAAATTACACGCGTAAAATTCCCACTGGCGTGTCTATTTGTCTGTCCTTCCTTAATCTCGAGAACGGAGTTAGATTACCGGCATGACTCCGTTGTTATCAGGAAAAGTATGATGTACAGGGGCAAGCCAATACTAATTTGAGTTGGAGAGCATATATTATAGATGAAATAAATTAAAAATATGATTAAATTCTGTCGATTTTTTTCGTATCGTTTACCGAAAAGCGTTACAATAAACTGTACTTAGAAATTATAATAAGTTTCCAAGTATTTAAACTCGTAGGCTTCAGCTTTGTCATTGATATGAAATCGTGATGTGGTGTTCGTGATAAGTATTCTTATTTCTTGCAAACATTCAGATTTTGCATAAGCGAATTGCGTGTATCGCGTGAAGTTTATCAAAATACGATACACTCGGAAGAGACACACCCAATCTGGGTGGAACGTTGATCTCTCTTCAACGTTTTCTATCCACGTTAACGTCTACAATACTGTCAAATTAAACTATGTTTAATTTTATTTCTTAATCTTGTTTGTAGGTATTTCAACAGCAAAATTTATAACCGTTAATATTACTTTAATTAATTTTAATTTAGTTGGTAATTAACGTAATTATGTCGAATTATTCCGAAACTAAGCGGAAATTACTAACCTTTTACTTAAATATTAAAATTATAATATATTGATAATATGCCGGAATGAAATTTTTAATGGTGTTTTTAATTTATTTCATTTAAATTATATGTTTTCCATCACAAATTAGTAGTGGCTTGCCCCTGTAAATCATACTTTTCCTTTAAGAATAGAGTGGTGCTGGTCATCTAGTCAACGCCGTTTGGGGGAAGTTTGAATTGAAATCACGTGACCTCCGGTTTTCTGGGAAGTTTGTATATAGTTAATCGGGGCCTCCCTCCCATAAGGTTCCATATCTTGTCTCGGCTTTCATTTAACTAATTCTGTTATCGAGATTAAGCAAAGACAGGAGGACGGGCAATGGACAGACTGATAACAGTGGGAATTTACGGGTCATTTCTTTCAAATTGCAGCCCAATAATTAAATTTATCGTTTTATCAATTCTAATTAGTAAAATATATAGATAATTGCTTGAAGTTACGTTTTTATCAGTAACAAAAATATTCGAATGGTTGACGCTTAAAATAATTACTTTTTTCTACTTGTATAAGGATAAAAGTGAATAATATTCAAAATAATTTACTCACAAAGTGCTCCAAATAATTTTAAAAAACTGCTAATTTGCTTAAGATAATGATCAAAATACTGCTAATTTGCTCAAGATAATGCTGAAAATGTTTTTTTCTTTGACTATAATTAATTAAATAATAAAGAATAATAAAAACTTAAACGAATCTACGAAAACATTGAAATAAAATTCCTAAATTTTTTTTTCAAAAATATTCTTACCCGCAGTGTTTAAGTGAAAGAACTTTTCTCTCTCCCCCCCCCGTCTCAATTCGACTGCCAGCAGCAATTCGAAAATTTTGACAACAGTTACCTACTATTTTGTGGAGTGCTTGCTCTTCACTCTCAATATCAAGTTGAAGAAAAAAAAGAAAGTATTCTCTCTCTTTGTATCTGAATTCTGACTGTTACAGTTCATAGTCCTTGACAAGAAACGAATGACGAGTTTGTGAAGTATTCTAGAGAAAGTAATTTTCGAAAATCTCTTGTTTAGTTAAGGATTTTTGAACGATTCCGAAAAAAACTTCAATGAAATTGAATAGGAACTCCATTGTGTAAGTCAACAAGTATATTGTATCCGCCATTTTTATGTAATTGAAAAACTGTGGGCTGCACCCATATAAAATATTTATTACCGTTATAATACAGTAAAATCTTTTTAAACTGAATTCGTTGTACTTTGCCGGTTTGGTAGGTTTCCGTTTCGTACAAGTTCTTTTCTATAATAGATAATTGATGCTTTCTTTTTCCGGTTTAGGCAGGTTTCCGTTTTGGACAGGTTTTACTGTATTTATGTTAATTCTATAATAATTTTTGTATTTTTTCGTCGATATAAAATCGAAATTTATTATATTTTAGCATGTATATAGATTACAAAGTCCGTTGTAGCCAGCTTATTACGAGCGCTTGAATATTTTAAATAATTAATAAATTATTTATACTTCGTTTATTAGAAACAAAATTCTAAACTTTTATTTAAATTTTTAAACATAAAACTTATATTTTTATTGAAAACATAGCAATCTATAATCTCTTTTTGTAGCGAATTTCAGATAAACCTGTTTAAAACGGAAACCTGCCAAAACGGGAAAAAATATTCGGTACTGTAAAAGCCGGTATACACAAGTATAACTATATTTTATATGTAGTAAACCTGTACAAAACGAAACCTGCCTAAACGGGAAAAATTCTTTGATATCGAGCGATTTTCATTATGCTTAAAGAAACACCTGTCCTAAGTGAAAACCTACCATCGCGCGACCGTTTTACACAGGTTTTACTGTACAATTTTACCGAAATCTCGAATTTCTTATACTCATAATCATCTACTTTTGATAAAAAAATTAATTTAAAAAGGCTGTTGATTAATATATTTGGGTATGATATCATCATATTGCTTCAATTTAAGAGGCACTCCACTTTTAAAAATGTCATTTTCAAAAATTAATTAATTTCAGAAGATAATTAAAGTTTTAAAAAATTTATTAAATAATATAAAAT